ACAGTAAAATAGGTTAATTTTGTAGTAGTTGGTTTCCACCACAGTATTTACATGGATATAAGCCCTGCCCCCTCTCCAGCGCGTCCTGTTTGAATGACAGGAGTAAACACAACTGACAGCCACGGTGAAACTCCAGCGGTTAGGGTGAGAATATTCGCATTGCGTCCGTTGTGAACGCAGCATAACGCAGTTCAGAAACCACTGTTCTGACGCTTTTAAAGTAACTTCGAGATTTTAACAGTATCAGGGGCACGCAGGCCATGGTGACCGTAGGACGTACAATTATTTTCGGGGCTTCACGGCCAGAACGGCCGTCACGGCCGCCGTGAAAATCCTACCCTGGTGCACTATCACGATAGATACATCATCTCTGAAAAGGCATATCGTGGAGACCTAATATCGTCTCGACGATATATATCGTCATATCGCCCACCCCTAGTGACAACCTCCTTCCATCAGCAAGGGCATTGAAGATGAAACGTGGCTGGGTCTTTCAGCATGACAATGATCCCAAACACACCGCCCGGGCAAAGAAGGAGTGGCTTCGTAAGAAGCATTTCAAGGTCCTGGAGTGGCCTAGCCAGTCTCCAGATCTCAACCCCATAGAAAATCTTTGGAGGGAGTTGAAAGTCCGTGTTGCCCAGCGACAGCCCCAAAACATCACTGCTCTAGAGGAGATCTGCATGGAGGAATGGGCTGAAATACCAGCAACAGTGTGTGAAAACCTTGTGAAGACTTACAGAAAACGTTTGACCTCTGTCATTGCCAACAAATAACAAAGTATTGAGATGAACTTTTGTTATTGAACAAATACTTATTTTCCACCATAATTTGCAAATAAATTCTTTAAAAATCAGACAGTGATTTTCTGGATTTTTTTTTCTCATTCTGTCTCTCATAGTTGAGGTATACCTAGGATGAAAATTATAAGCCTCTCATCTTTTTAAGTGGGAGAACTTGCACAATTGGTGGCTGACTAAATACTTTTTTGCCCCACTGTACATGTGGTGTACTGTGAAATGCATACGAGCCATTTATTAGGAGTCATGTTTATATTTACCCGTTCATTTCCCAGATTCAGGTCTGCAAACGTGTATTTCTGTACGGCGTTCGAGGTAGCTAGAAACAGACAAAACGCAGAGAAATTAGTGCCTGTTCAACAAGTGGAGTCCATGAGAGCAGAGCATATTGACGGTGTTTCTTCTCCTGGCTGTAGTACCTTGAGGCTTGCATGGCGTGGCTCTGAAACACAGCTTGGCTCTTTCTCTGCTGGTGAGTTTACAGTCTGGGGGGCAGAGAGGACACAAGACATTGCTTTCTATGTGTTTACACATACAGTACAGACACACTTCCCTTTAAGACTGCCACTCAAAGTATTTACAGGGGGTGTAAGAAATAATTCACTCTTTCACACTGTTCTTTTATTTATCCTTTATTTATGCGGGGCACAGCTATAATTAACGATGAGCTTTTTTTAGAATAATACAATAACATAATTGTTTTAGAAATAAATAATATTTGAAGAATTCCAGGACGTTTTAATGCCATTTCAAGAATATCTTGATGGATATCAGGATCATTTTTGATGCTGTGTTCTTTAAGTTGTGAGGGAAAGACCAAACCCTCAGAGAAAGAGCAGAGTGACAGGGTGAGTCCTGTTATATTAACCCAAAGATATTGTGTGATCATTGAGAGTGCGGCTGTGTTTACCATCTATTCCCAACTAAATAAACAGAGAAGCACAGAGCGCTCGCTCACCTTTATCCTTTGCTGGGTTGATACACTTGTGGAGGCGCCAGTGTTGACTGCTGCTGGAAACCTGGATGATGTGGAACTCACGAAGCCCCGCTTCACTCTGCAAGCCCACAGGAAGTCCATTTAAATGATGAGCAAGCAGTGACATGTGGTTCTTACTGGCAGTGTGTGACATGCTGGGTATCTCACAGTATTGATGTTCTCCACATCTATGAAGACCAGCGTCCCCCCGCTGCCCTGGTCCTCCAGGCTGTGGTGAGGAGGACCGCTGCTGCGGCAGGCCGACGCCTTCACACTCAGAGAGCGGCTGGCACAGATGAAGACGGAGTGACGCAGCACCCGGTGGCTGCACAGGGAGAGAGAGGAACACATGTCTCTGCTATCACTAACTGGTATCTCTTGGCAAACTGAAATATATGTACAGCTTTCAATGATTGTGTGATTTTATTCTTTACATTATGTTGCCACTGTCATGGAAACCACAACAGTGAAGTCCTTGTAATGCAATGTTAATGATCGCGCCCTCGACCTGGAAGATGCTACAGCAGCATCTGAAGCTGGCCAGTAAGATTCCACTCACAGATTAAAAAGTACTTTAATTAAATCTGGAGAGCATCTGCAGGCATTACATGTGTGTTGTTTTGAGGTATTGTTGTGACTAGGGATGCACCGAATATTCGGCCGCCGAAAATTATCGGCCGAAAATGGTTAAAAAGGCCCTTTCGGCTTTTGGCCGAAAAAATATCACCGAATGTCAGGGAACAGGGTTACGTTGGTAAGCTAACGTGTTGTTGTGATGACGTAATCAAAACACGGCGACAAACACGGCGCGCGACCATGNTTGATGGTGGGGTGAGATTTGGTCATAAACAACATTTCTTGTCAACTTCCCAGAGGGAAAAATTGATTCAGAGATCATGACAGTGGTAATCAATGGGTAGGGTATTGCTCTTGTTGTCCTTAGCAAACAGCTACAATTGAATGTTGCTGTTATTGAAAACTATGCTACCTGAATAATAAGGTCTGTAATACAAGCTAAATTGAATGATGTGTACATATTAGGGATGCACCGAATATTCGGCCGCCGAAAATTATCGGCCGAAAATGGTTAAAAAGGCCCTTTCGGCTTTCGGCCGAAAGGGTTCTAGCACCGAAAAAATATCACCGAATGTCAGAGAACAGGGTTACGTTGGTAAACTAACGTGTTGTTGTGATGACGTAATCAAAACACGGCGACAAACACGGCGCGCGACCATGCTCGCGGCTGGCTCACAGCCAACATGTCTGCCGCTTGGAGATATTTAAAAATATCAGAGAAAGAGGCGCGGATTGCGATTTGTAAAACGTGTTCAGCTGACATTTCTCGAGGGGGTGTAACTGCAAAGACTTTCATCACTTTGGGATTACTCCACCACTTGAAATCAAAACACCCGGACAAATATGCGGAGTAAGATCAAATCACAAGCACTGACAGCGAGAGACTGTTCAGCGCTGCCTCTCATGTGCTTGATGAGAAGAGGAACAGACTTATGGCTGATAAAGCAGAGAAGCTAATGTTCATTAAAAAGAACCTCCCACTTTTCCTTAATAAGTAGACAAGGCTGGTTTATCATAAGCTTATCTAGTTCTACATGTCTACTCTATACCCACTTTCCTGAACAATTTTCATTGTGAGTTATAATTCACCATCTCAGGTTATCATTAGGGGGAAATGACAGCAGCACAGTGTTCAATATATTGTACTTTCGGTATCTAAATGATACAATGTTGTTTACATTGCTCATGAGGACAGACCACCTTATTTGCAGATTCTTGAAATTGTAATTTAATTTGTAATTGATTGTGGATTTTGTATCCAGTTTTCACTTTATGTATCTTTATACAATGTTTACTACTTTGCTTATGAGGACAGACAGCCTTATTTACAGATTCTTGAAATTGAATTGTAATTTCATTTGTAAATAGTTACATTCATGTGGATTTATCCAGTTCACACATTTGTATGCATGCACTTATAGGTGCATTTGTTGTTGTTGAAGGCCTGGCTGTTACAGTCTTTATTTACACTATTTTGGTGTAGGCCTACTGGCCTAGATGTTTATGCAGTTTTAAAGCACCTTGGCTTTGTTCTGAATGCACTTTGTTGTAGTTATCCTACAGAGAAAAGAAAATGCACTTGACTTGGAATGAATGTACTGTATGCATTCAAAAGTGCTGAATAAATGTTTTATGGACCCATAATAGTGATTATTATTTAAGTTAAGTTAATTGCCATAATCATGTCTTTTTCCATAATCAGGTAGCTGAACAACATTGGTAAAAAATGTATACATTATATATATATATATATATATATATCTATTAATCATTTTCGGCCTTTCGGCATTCGGTTTTCGGCCAACTGTTTCCTATTTTCGGTATCGGTTTCGGCCAAGAATTTCCCATTCGGTGCACCCCTAGTTGTGACTTGTTTTCTCTTGAAAACACCACTTCTCTCAATCAGATTACCTGTAGACAGATTAACTCTTTATGATGATGTTCTGATCATCTATGTTCTCTGGTTTACTTTTTTATTTGTGTTCTGTAACTATGCTGCTGCCTATCTCGGCCAGGACTCTCTTTTTTATCTCAATGAGGCTTTCCTGGTTAAATAAAGATGAAATAGAATGAAAATAAAGGTTAAAAAGAAAACAATGTGACATAATTCAACACAGAGCATTCTGCTTAGTGTTTGTTTCGTACACTCACCAGTTCCCCTCTCTATTATTTGCATCCTTTTTGTCTTCATCCAGTATAATGGAAGCAGACTACAGAAGTTTTATTTGAATTTAGAAGAAATGTCTGAGCCTCTGATTGATACTTGTAATATGTGAGAAACCTCCTGCAATGTAAAGGGCTGAATGAAGGATTGAAGGGAATCCAGGATATGATTGACATATTCTTAAAAATGGGCTTCACTTTGATGAAGTTGTTCCTTTGAGAAAAAGGCTTCTCATGTTCATGGTTAGTACCTAGAAATTATCTTAATAGCAATTCCCCTCCTTTCCATTTATTTCAAGTCTTACCTGATTTTGTTTCCCTTCTCTGTGCTCTCGTAGTAGAAGAGGAAGTTGATTTCGTGCACCCCCTCCTGGTCTGGTCCTCGGAGCCACAGAGGCAGCTGGGTGGACTCCCCCGGCTGCAGCGTGCTGCCCTCTATCGGGATCTCCATCACACCGGACGGCTGGCTGAAATCCCCCGCTGAGACCAGCACCTCAGTCGCCACGGAGCCAGGCTGCCGGGGCGTGGCCAGCGTTTTATAGGCGGAGCAGTTTTCAGCTGAGGTGGGGCTGACAGGCGTGAGGGGAGTCGTGGTCTGGCTGCCAAAGGTGAAGAAATCAGGGTGTGTGGACGCCACTCGAAGGCCGGATAGAGCGACACCGCTGACGTTACAGAACTCAACGTAGGCCTTCCTGATCTCACCGCACAGCAGAGCAGTGGGAAACTGCAGGAAGAAGACCTGACACACACACACACACACACACACACACACACACACACACACACACACACACACACACAACCACCTTTGACTTGTTTTTTTTTTGGAACTTGAAATAACTAAATCTTGTTTTTTAGATCAAGTGTCCTCATTTGACTAATTCTGCATTGTCCGTCATGGGAAAGACTGTTATGATCAACTTTAAAAAGTGACTGCAGAGACGTGATCGCTTTATATTCTTCTATAATGCAGAAGTCATCAACAGGAAGACATGTTGGGGAGTGGTATGAACATTAGTAGTAATTTAACTTGATTTTAATGAGCACATACTAAAAGAAAGTCTGTCTTCAGGGAAGTTCAGATTGGGCTCAAACTGGGCCAGACTGGGTTCGGACTGGGTTTTAGGATGGACTCAGAGTCTTTAGATTTACAAGACTTTGTTGCAGGTGTTAGTCAATGTTACCTCCATTAGCGGCATGGGTGGTGTTATGATGGGATCCAGACGCCGATCCAGACCGTGTCGAATCACCATCTTGTCCTCTTTGGTCTGATTCAATCGTGGGCCCTGGATCTTCAGATCCTGTCTGCCACGGACCACCATCAAGTCTAAAGTCTGCTGGCCTGTGGACAGGAAGACATCCACACTATGTGTCAGGGTGCTTTTATTTTTTAAATTTTCTAGAGAAAACATTTTTGATCCAAACCAAATGAAAGCTTGTTGAAAATACAACCTTTATGGAAAAAGTGGAGAATTTACATATCCCAAAGACGACCATCCCTTGTTTGACTGTTTCTATACACCGATTGAATGTATATGTATAGACATGTATGTATGGTCACATGTATGTGTATTGAATGTATATATGTATGTTGATATGTATGCATGTACATGTGTAGACATTTGCTATTTCAAACAACCCCTGTGTACTTTTTCGTTTTTATTTTACTTTGATTAATTTTGTTTGCTATTTCATTTGTCACTTTCGGGTCTCTAAAAATATATGATTTGAAAAACTGTACTTGTACTATAATGTGACCCCAAATAAATAAAGAATAAAAAAAAAAAGAAAAAAACAACCTTTACTGTAAACAATGTGGAGAAGTTTGAACTTGATCCATTAGAAAGCAAAGCCACACCCAGACATATTAGCATAGAGCACAAAGGTTCAATCAAATGAATATCACCCGAAGAGTGTGTGTGGGTGTGTCCTACCTTCAGTGCTGGGAGCCGTCTCTCCAGAAGAGGCTGCAGCCAGGTTATACACCACACCCACAATGTTCAGCTGCCCAATACTGTGTGGCAGCAGCCGGAGTCGAGCCTAAGGTCAAAGGGCACAGTAACTATGAGAAGAACAACACAACTACATGTCTGGTAAGCCTTAAGCATCACAATTAGCTAGAACATTAAAAAAACGTTTTAAGTAATTTCAATTATCTTTAAACTAGTTTGTGGCGAGTGTGACACACACAAGCAAGTATATTGAGCCATAATATCTCCTCAGTGTGCCGCTAGTTTTCTATATACAGTACTTACCAATTTGGTCTCCTCCGGACCCAAATGAAACTCCAGGATAATCTCAGTGGTGACGATGTCATCTTTCTGTTTCATCTGCTGGTGGAAACATATTGAAATGTTAGTAGAGTATATTAAAGCATTCATCTAACAAAGAGAGGACAGCTTGCCCACCCCTTGAGTTAAGGTCTCCTCATTTGTGATGGCCTCTTCTGCATTCTCCTGGGATGGAGATGTGCCTTCAGCTGTGAAACTCCATAGTAGGGAGAGGTTGGACAGAGCCAGAGGAACCTTCAGAGGGTTCCTGAACAACACCTCCACTACGATTGGCTCTGCACAGACACAAAGAGAGCAATATGAGCAGGTAGCATATAGTGCTGGGATGGCTACATGCTTTTGCTAAATTAAATAGTTTTCTGAAGGGTATGCAAACGTCCGTATGTGAGAACACCTCGTACTTCAGTTGAGATCAATCTAGATACAATTGTATATAGTGTAGAGCACTGATTTGTGTAGGCCAAACCAGAATTAAGCTTTGCAAATGTTTATGACACTCACACATTGTGTTCAGCAGGATAACCTCCACATGTTTACAAAACGTTTGTAATTGTTGAAGCATAAAGAAAATCGGCAAAAGAACAAAGATAATTTTATGCTATGAAGGAACTACATCATGGTCGCAACACCACTGCTAAGCTAAAGGCTGCTAATGATGACGTTTAGCAGTCTCATTTAGTCGCTCGTTAGCAACTGCTATGTTTTTATGAAACTTTGGTCATTCAGTGGCGTATCTACGGACATATTTTGTGTTGTCAAATGTGCAAATCTCTTAAGCTTGTATTAACTACAGAACTTATTTCAGGCAGCTAACCACAAACACGTTGAAAAACAGTTATCTTCAACAAATTGGAGCTGGAAGTGGTAAAGTTCTGATAACTAGCTCTGACTCATTTTGTTTTGTAGGACTCCTTCCTGCACCACACTATAGTTTTGTCTTACCCTCGGCCACAGCCAGAGGGCAGCGCAGGTTGTCCGTCTGGCTGTTCAGGCAGCACTGGCTTGGCTGGAAGTTTCCTGGGACGAACCCCCTGTTGGCCGAAGCCACCAGCTGCTCCTCCAGGTGGCCCCACATGGATGCTTGATCCTGGTCATACTCCTGATCCAGGGACACATGAGTCGCTGCCTGCTTTTCCCCTGCACACATCAGGTTATACACAATATGGGTTTTAACATTACACTGGGCAAAAGTGGGGTCATAAAGCTAACAATTTGTATGATGTCACATTTTCCTAGCGTATGATATTAATAATAACTTTTACGCTCACTAGAAATGGCTGTTAACTCACATGACTGATCAGGTTCCCACAATGCAGAAACAACAGTAAGGTATGGACAGTAAAAAGTCATAAGAACCAATCCCTCGTCTTTTCTTAAGATTTGATTTCAGCTGGGAGGAGATCACAAACAAGTGACCACTGGGTGTGTTACCTTCTGCGAGGCGGCGTTCATGTCCAAAGTAGACTCTGGTGGCTGAGCTGTGGATGCAGGGCAGAGGCAGCTGTGGGAGGCTGTCTTCTTTTTCTCCTATCACACTCTGAAAACACACAACAAGGTCAAACATGATATTGTTATCCTCACCTTTTATATATTACATCTACATTTTAAAGACAATTTATATTATAACCAAGATCACTTTATTATGCAAATGAATGCCTTTTTCTACTTTTGACTACACATGGACTGATGAAAATAAACTAAAATGCAACTTATTTGATACAATTTGTAACATAGTCTCCATCATGTTTTGACCCACAGAGCTTTATGGAGGTAACAACAGTTTCGTATAGTGGTGTTAGAAAGCTTCCAGCTATACTAAAGATGTCATTGTAGACTGACTATCCCACTTTTAAATACAACTTGCTCTCTTATTAACGTTGGTTACATTTGTATGACCATATCACTAAAATACTTCCAAAAAAATACCCATTTTGGAGAACATACAAATGGTTTACAGATTCTGAAAGAGGTAGACCCCACAAAGACCCCATTTAAAAAAAACAGAATAACATGCTATCTTATTTAAATAGAGCGTCTTCAATAACAACCTCTGGTAACACACAACAGGGCTTCAGCTTCAGAGATTCAAGGGCTTTCCATCAGAACCGGTACCTTATAAACATAGAGATATTCCCGGAGGAAGGCGCCCTGCTGTGTGGCTGTCTGCCTGCTGTCATTGGTCAGGATCTGTCTGAAGGCCGTCACAGCGTTCTCTGGTTGGCTGAGTGTGAAGGACTGACGGCCGATAGTGAAGTTGATGTGGTCCTCCGCCAAAGACCAGCCCCTCTCCTTGTACACCTGCATGGCTTGGCAGTAACAGCGCAGTGCGTGCCTCCTCTGTGTACAGAGACAGTAGAGTAGAACATTAACAAAGAGTGTGAAGTTTATCATGTTGCATGAGACGTTTCATAATAGATCAGACACCTCATTCCCTGTAATGTCATCTTTACATTTCTTGTAGTACTTATAACCCCAGGATTCCCCTCACATATTTTCCAACAACAGCAAGTCAATACAAAGTATTACAAGTGTATTTAAAAGTGCAACCTGAACATTCTCAGTTTCGCCCAGAATCTAATAGATATGTAATTACAACAGAAAAAACAGAAAGTCTCTGTCCCATGGATCTATAAGAGGCAGGGCCCCGTTATTCCTATGCAAGCTGCTCAGAAAGCCAAAATGGCCTGACTCTTGAGAGCTCAAATATGTGGATCTTTCAGGACTCTCTTGCGTTTTTCTTAAGCCTCGCCTCCAAGTCAGAAGTCACATCTCTGCTCAGTCAAATGAGGGAAAATAACTCTGAATACGGCTATCAGCGCAAGTTAGAACTTATAGGACTGAATGAATTTACTGAGGGCTAAGAAAACGCTGATTTACAGATCTCTTATTCCCAATGTATTTTTTCTTCACACAATGGCATATCGTGTCAGACACTGACGTTATAGTACCACAGCCTGGCCACTACGAAAATGTGCTACGACGGCCACAGTCTTTCCTGTGGGCTTCACTAGTATGCTTGACTAAAGCATACATGCATGTTTACAAAAAACTGTTGTAATAAAATGGAAAACACAAACTACCTGGGATTGTACGTGTTAGCAATAGCACACAAAACAAGATGGGACATTGGACCAGATTGAGTAAGTCCTAAAAGGCTCACCTGTCCTGCTTTGCTGAAACGATGACCAGCCAGGATCATATGGAAGGCAAACTTGCGAACCATAGGGTTACGCATGTTGATGAAGCAGTGGGCAGCCTGTTCCAACAGCAGAGCACTGCGCAGGTCAGAGTCCTGCACAAACAAACAAAACAAAAAAAAGTAGTTTTAATCCTCTGCCATTCATAGGACAATTCTCATTTGCATAACAACACAAAATGCTGCAACATGACTTACATATTGAGAAGTTAATTAGTGGTAAGAAATTGCATTCAACAGTCCATTTATCAGTTTTCCAGCCTGTGTATATGAGAACACTATACGATGGACTTTTCATTAAAGTGGAGTGACGTGTGCAGTGCACCCGAGACGTACATCAGGACTAATTATGAAGCGGCTTCCTCACCTCGCTGGTCATCTTAATGAGGAGAGTTGCAGCCTCAGAGTATTTGACCTGACTCTTGAGTATCTCGGCGCTGAGTAACGCACAGCGCTCAGCCAGCACCATGTTCCTGAAGAGAAGACATGTTACAATGCTTGATTATGGCAAGACACAAGGATAGGAGATAAAAAGGATAAGCTACAAGGGAATACTCTCATGGTCAGTGTATGTTTTGGTCATTGGATTTTCTTTTCACAAATGGATATTCAAAAACAAAAAACGACAGGATATTTGATTTTCGTTTTAAAATTGAAAATT